GGGCTGTGTTTACACCCAAGACCACGAGGTGCCCTCTCGCCAGCTGCTCCAGGCCTGGTGAGCAGTGGGGCCACAGGCTGGATTCCAGGGCAGAGCCGTCCTCTGCTCTGGGGACGAGCTGCAGCCACAAAATGCACAGTGGGAGCTGCAGCACATGGAATCTGAACCCACAGGCCAGGGCTCCCGGAGGCCGGTGCCCTCCCGGCGCAGGACCTAACTTTCTAGTCCCTGCTCTCCCCTCTCGATGGTTTGGCCATTTTCTTTTCTTTCCAGCTCGTTCATATTTCCCAGCCCCTCTGGGGCCTCACAGCCTCCAAATCTCTCTGAGCCCTGTCCCCACAAATCCATGTCTTCTACTTGCCCCGTGGGACCCTCTATCACCTCTCCCCTCCCAACAGGGTCCTACGCAGTGTCCAGGCTGCTCCAGGGAGTGTCCCCCCGTGTAGGCTGTGAGCCCCCAAGCTGGTGAAGAGGGCTGAGTCTGGGTCTCCACCCAGGCGTGGTCATTATTACCTTGCTTGTACCTGCGTACAAGTCTGCAAAATAAGGATAAAGGCTTGGTTGTGGATCAGGTGGGTCAGACCCAGGAGGGCTCGGTGTGACAGGGACATGAGAGGTAGTTTGAGGACACTTCCCTGTACGGTTACATGAGCCTCAGCACCCCCTGAGAGGGAGCTGACAGTGGAGCTCTGTCATCCCACAGCCACTGCCAGAACCCCCACCCACAGCAGGCAACGCCCTCTGCCACCCCCGCTTGGCTGTCCAGGTCTGAGCCATGTCCCTTTCTGTTAAAGCCAGGCCTCGGAGGCACCTACCAGTGACCAGTCGTGCCAAGAACCACCTCACCTGCCGTCTTCAGCAAGTCACAGAGCCCTGGAACCAAAGCCTGAGTGGTGCACACCAGGGTGACCTCTAAGTCTAGGGGGCATAGGCGGAGAGGGTGGACAGAGCCAGCTGTGAGGCTTCATCCTACCAGTCATGGCACCATCACCGCTGAGCCAAGGGACCCTCATCTGTAAAGTGGGCTGATAGAGTCCAGGAAATGGGACCATGCATGTAAATTCCTTACCCAGGGCTTGCACATAGTAGGTGCTCAATAAAGGCACCAGCACCCTGCTGCCCCCTACAGGCTGCATTGCACCCAGCTGGGTTTACAGCATAGCGGCCCAGAGCTTGCTGTCCTCTGGCAGGCTCTGTGGGTTGGAAGCGTGTCCCCAGCTTTCACCTGGGGCAGTTACAAGGAGCAGTTTCATGAGAGTCGCACCACATTTGCTGTCCAGATGCTTTTGGGGACATGATCCGTTTTTCATTTCAGGGCCACCTAGATGATCTCTCAGAGCCAAGGCTGGAAAAATCTTTGCGCTTTTCAGAGTGCTGAATGACCACCATCTTTGATGGAGCCTTTTCTTGATGGGGGTGTGCAGAAACACTGCTCCATTCAGCCCTCAGGATGGTCACCTCCAGGCAGATGGGAGTGGCCTCGTCAGCGTTCCAGGCTTCTCACACATCTCTGGGTGCCTTGATAGAAGAGAGCTGCGAAGTCCTATCCTAAGGGGCAGTGAGGATAACTGAACTGGTCCTATTTCCCTTTTCACTTAGGCTGCCAGGAATCACAGAGCCAAATTCTAGACACCAAATCAAAGCGGCTGTGCAGGACCTACTGGCCTGCATATATCTATCTGTTCCCCTTTTTCCTTATTGTTCAGTTCCTATTGTCATTTACCTTTGCTCCAGCTTGGGAGCTTTCGTGGGTTTGCATTTCACTCATTTTTTGTTTTATCTCGACTATAGGCTGAGGAAATCATTCATGAAGCAAGGCAGGGTTTGAAACAGACCCAGGTGCCGCCGCCGCCCAAGCAACACACAGCCCACTGGTGCCAAGAGCATGCTCTGCCCCCTCTCCTCCCTGAAGTTATGCGCGCTCAGAGCCTGGGTTGGACGCTTGTCTTTCTCAGCAACCTCCTCCGAGGGAGGATACGCCGACCCAAGCCGGGAGGGGTTTTCTGACTCATGGAACTGCAGAGCCCAAAGGGACGCCTGGCCCGGTCCTTCATTCTAGGTGACATGGAAGCCAAGAGAGGCTGGGTGGCAAGTCCTAGGTCCCACAGAATGATGGTGGCTCTCCTGGCTTTCACCCACACAGGACACGCACCAGTTCATCCATCCCCCAGCCCCCCACAAGGTAAAGGTCTCCCAGGTGGAGATCCCACATAAACATGAGATTAATTTATTATTATTGATTGTCAGTTGCCTGGGTTAGAGGTTTTGGGTCCAGCATGAAAACTGTAGACAACTGGATGTTTCTACCCACCAAGCCTCTTAGCGATGCGGAAAACCCCACCCGAAACCAGCCACCAGGCCTCACCACAGGCCGGTAAACATCCCCCCCCAGGGCCACCAGCAAAGTCCACAGAGGCAGAGCTTGGCTTTGAGAAAGAAAAGCCTTTCAAAACAGTGCTTGCTGGAGCCATCAGTCCTTTTCCCTCTGCTGGTGTCAGGCAATGCGAGTGCTGTGTGACACGCCGCCAGCAGGAGCGCAGTGCATGTACGCACACACGCTGGCACAGACATGGGTGAGCACACACTCACACACGTGCACACACACAGCACATTCACATACACGTGTGCACACATGCACTCACTCTCACGCGCACACACGCAAAGTATTTGTACAAGCGTGCACACCCGCTGACACGGATGCAAATTCATACACGTGTGCACCCATTCACACACCCACTTGCACACAAAACACACTCATACACATGTGTGCACACACTCACATGAACACATGTGCCCGTTCACATACTCACATGCATATGTGCCGTACACACATATACAGTCACATGCACACACATGCACATGCTCACACACACATGCACGTACGTACTCATGTACACACAGAGCACACTCACACACGTGCACACAGCATGAGAGCTGTGTCTCATGGCCTCAGTCCCTCCCCGGCCATCACCAGTGATGAATGTGAAGGCGCTAATGGGCACTCGCCCCGGGGCTGCTCTGCGCTTGGGGGGGCAGCGTGCGCAGCCCAGTAGCTGGTCTGGTGAGAGCTGGGCCTCGCTGTCAGGGACGCTGGCAGCTGGAGAGCAGAACCTGCAAAGCCTGAGAGAAAGAGCGGTGGCACATTTCAGAGCTGCACAAAAGGAGCCACAGTGCGCCCTGTCCCCAGGAGCTGCCTGCAAACCCTCCTCCAGAGGGGAGCTGAGGCCCCCGGGGCCCCCACAGGCCTCCTCCCCGCCCCTCCCCACCACTGCTCCTTCCAGCACCTCCTGGCTCCTGCTCCCAGGGGGCTGCTTATGAAGGGTCCCGGGTGGGCATTTCCTGGGGCCCTGCTCCTGATGTGCCAATCCACAGGGCACCCCTCCTCTCTGAGCCCACCCAGGACTGGGACGGAATCTTGGTGAGTAGATTGATGGCAAAGGACCAGAGCCCCAGGGAGGCTCCTGCCAGCCGTAGGCTTGGGGAAATTGAAACCGTCACATCAACAGCGTGGGGACGGAGGAGCTCCGCGTGGCATCTCAAAGGCAAACCTCAGTCTGGGTTACTGTGTTAATAACTCAGAGCCCGTGGGTGGTGGGGGAGAGGAGGCCAGTCACCCTGATAGCAGCAGGGTGCCCCGGGGCCTTCCTCCCACTTCCTGGGGCGCACTACGAAAGGGGCACAGCTTTGAATGCCACCCATTAGGTGTGTTACACACACTCTGATCTTCACTGCAGCCCCGAGAGGTGGGTAAGGTCCCCACTATGCAGAGGAGGGAGAGCTGAGACCGAGAAGCCACAGCTCCCCACGGCCACACACCAGGGGAACAGAACAGGCCTGGCCTCCACCGCTCACCCCCTTGGGCCCCAGCCCCAAATGAAGGCCCACGAGGCACGCTTCCGTGAGCGGGACCGTAAACGCGCTTGTCTGCACTCGGCTACACCACATGCCGGGCCAGGGGACGGGGTCGTGGCCACTTGTCTGCTGGTATCAGGCAACTGGGAGAAGTGCGGGCTTGGACCTCACACTTCCTCCATGGGCCACGGCCGCTGAGCGGTGGAGTCTGCTCAGAGGACACAGGAGCAAGTGGGCGAGAATGCCACCCCTGGCACCAGCTGTAGGTGTGCCCTGTGCTGGGGCCACCTGCGCCCCCTCACAAGGTGGGAGGAGCTCAGACTACCCACCCAAACCCACCAACAAAACCTGCGAAGGACAGGGCCGGCTCTGTCTCCCGAAGGTAGAGGGGACGCCTTCCTGGGGGAGAGAGGGACAGTCCCCAGGCAACTCGGCCATGCACGTGGCTGTGGCACGTGGACACCTCACTGAGGTTGGAGGAAATGCTGCTCTGGAGAAAGGAAGAGGGCAGGAGCTGCTGGTGGGCTGGTTCATTTCAATCTCCTCAGAGCCAGATTAAATAGAAACCATCTAGAGTCTGCAAGGGGAGGACCTTGGGGCATCTGTCCCCACCCTGCGCCCTGCAGGGGCAGGCTGTCCAAGGTCCCTGAGAGGGGAGCAGCCCCCCTCCACCCCTGTGTTCAGGCACATGTGAGAGGAAGACGCTACCTGACTTGCTGCGTAACCCTGGGCAAGCCACGCCCCTCCTCTGGGACTCAGTTTTGCCATCTGTAAAATGAGGAGGCAGAGGATGTCGTGAGATGTGGCCAGAGCGAGGATACAGGGCTACAAGGGAGGAGAGAAGTGGGAGGGGCCTGCAGGTGCTGGTCCAGCCAGCACTGGTGCACGTGTGAGGGGCCTTCCCAGCTCCCAGTCCAGTAAGGGAACCGATATGCAAAAGACAAAATTAAATTCTGTACCGTCCACGCCGGGACACAGGGCCAAGGAGCCTATGGAGAGCAGAGAAGGCCCGCGAGGGTGGGGAGACGCTGGGTTCTGCCTTGTGAAGGGCACTGTGGGCAGGGGTATGAGGTGGAGCAGGGTGCCCAGAGACTCAGAGGACCCAGTTGGGCTGCAGAAGGACTGGGCATAGGGCCTGACAAGGGGGTGGCTCCCCCATCAAGCAGTAGGGCCTGCACCAGGACCCCCGATGGGCTGCCCAGAGTGGACAAACAAAAAGACCAGTCACAGTTCCTAAGAGGCTGTTTGGTGCCTTAGTAACCCACCTGGGCCTGTGCGTTTGTGGCGGGGGTGCATGTGTGTATGTGAGTGTGCTTGTGTTTGCACTCTTTGTGTGTGATTGTGTATGGGGCAGAGCTGTAATCACGGACATTAGGAAGGTTCTCAGTACCCAGGCAGAGCCTTGGCCCCAAAGCCCCCTTGAGGTCCTGGGGTCCTGGCTGCCTGGGCTGACCGCCAAGGGGGGACTCTCGCCTCTCACTTCTGGGCAGAGCTGGCCAGGCCGGCGCGCGCATCTGGGTGGATCTCTGCCAGGTGTCCTGGCTCGCACTGCCCCCCAGTGGCCATCGTCGGCGCCCAAGGACCTGGGGCTGGAGTGGACAGGGAGCTGGCTGACCGAGCCCGAGAGTAGCCAAGGCCATAGATCGTTCTCCTCTGGGCAGGGCGCACCAGCCCCATGAGCCCCTCCAGGAAAATGGCAGCTATTCGGGCCTGAGGTGTCTAGACCCACCAAGATGGTGCCCATCATTCCCACAAGCCTTCCAGAGCGGGGAACCGGCTCCCTCAGCCGGCTTCGGTCCCCTCTGCACACCCACCCAGCGCCGTCTCCAGTCTGCCAGCAGCTCCCTGGTGGCCTTGCCCGGGTCACACCCCTGCCCCAGACCTGGGCTGCCATCTGGGTTATCGCAGATGGGGGTCCTTGCTTCTCAGATGTCTTGTGAGTTTGGGACTCCAAGGCCTGATCATGAGGGTCTGGGAGCCGCTGTGGGGACGTTGCCCTCAGGCCCCCATGGGGGTGGGCAGTGCGTCCTCTCTCACAGCGGCAGTGGGAAGGGACAGCAGCACGAGCCCACTCAAGCCTTTTGTCTGGAGGAAGAAAACTAAAGGAAGGGGGAGGCCCCCCTTGGGCGGATGGGGACTGGGACCCCCCCAGAAGGCGGGCTGAGTTCAGGGCCCCCAACGGGGTGCATTTTCAATAGTTGCTATTTCAGGAGAGAGAGCGTGCCTCGGAGAGAAAAATGCTTGTGAATGAAAAGACAGTGGCCCTCAGGTCAAGGTGACAGGGGCGGGTGGTCAGCAGGCAGAGTGGGGGCCATCCTCCCACCACCAAAGTTCCCCACATGGCAGCGTCAGTGTCATGGTCAGAACTTGGCTTCTCTTACAGGATTGTCAGATAAAAGATGCGTTTCTGATAAACACGAAACATTTGGGACATTCTTATACTAAAACATTATTTGTTGTTCATTGGAAATTCAGCGTATCTGGCACCCTGTATTTCATTGGCTGAATCTGGCGACCGCGACATGGGCTCCGCTCCGGGTTCTGTTTCTCTCTCTGGCACAGAGGCCATTCCGGGCGAAGGGTCTGTCCCTCCCCCCGCGTCTCAGACTGACTGAGGGACAGGCACGCCACTGTCCAGGGTCTGGGGGGATGTCAACACTCCCGGGGTCATTAACACAAAAGCATGTATGGAAGGACCCCAGCCTCACCTCCAGCCACACTTACCATGTTGATTAGCTCGCCCTCTGGCATTCCCCGGGGTTCCGGCAGAAACACTCACTTTCTCCTGCGGACCTGTGACCACATGGCAGCAGGAACGTTATAGAGTGTTCCGGCCCCCACCCGCCTGCTCCACAGTCACTGTTGGACTTTGTCATCTGCATTTTGCCCCTAGAGCCCCCCGCCCCCCACCAAGGGTTAATCACACAGATGTTGGTTGCTGCTGGCATTGGTGGGGGCTCCAAGCTTTCCATGAAGCAAGCTGGGGCCCATAGAAGAGGTCTGAGGCCCTCTTTGTTGGGAAGAACCCATCTACTTAGACTTAGGGTCTCCTTTGTGCAGAAATGGATGCCATGGGTTGGCTGGGCATAGCCCTGGAGCCGCCTCTCTCCACCCACCCTTGCACCCCTGCCCCATCTCAGGACCAGGGGGGCTCCTTGGCTGCTCCCGGGGCTCCCTCTGCCTGCCAGCCCCAGCCATGCCCACCAGCACAGGGTGACCATCTCAGGCAGAGATGAGAAACCTCTTTGGCAAACTGGCTGATTTCCTGAGCTCAGAGTGCTGGTCAACCCTGCCCAGACACAGCTCCATCGCCCAGGGCCTCAGCCCAAAGCCCAGCACAGGAAACTGCCCAGCCCAGCTGCCTTCGAGAGGTGCTAAGGCCCACCCTGGGCACCCTCCCTCTCACTCGAACCCTGAAATGGTGCCAACATCCATGGGGCAGAGGCCAAGTTCCTTGTGTGGCCCTCCAGGGCTCCAAGACCTTGTGATCCCTTCTACTGTGCAGGTGACCTCATCACGCAACCTTGTTCCACACACCAGACTCCTGGGGGTCTCTATGGCTCTGCATCCTGGGTCATTGGCACCCTGAGGGCAAGGCTTCTTGTCCTGTTCAGCACACAGCCCCACGCTCAGCGCAAGGCCGGGCACTGAGAAGGCGTTCAGTCAACATGACGACTCAGTCATCTCGTGGTCGCCTCATGGATGGAGAACTCCTATGGACTTTAAAGACGGAGCTGAAATGTCACCTCTCCTGGAAAGGCCTCCCTGATTGCACAGGACCATCATTTGCACAATGCCATCATTTGTTCCTCTGGGTGCCCACCACCCTGGGCACAGAACCCTCCCGTGGCAGTGCTTGGGAATATGAATAAAATAGATTTCCATATTTTCATACAATATGTTTGATTATATGTTATATTATATATTTATTTATGCATTCTTACTTATGATACACTTTATTATGTTTTATATTGTATACGATATATAATTATATTACATGGTATTATAATTATATTTTATATGTAATTATATTTTATATATTGTAACTAATACTATATAACTAATTATAATAAATTATATATAAATAATATAATTAATTATACTGTGATATTAATCTATATATTATTACATGACATAACATCTATCATATATATTTTAATATTTAAATTTTAACTTAACTAATAATGTAATTTTATATATTATAAAATAACATATGCTATATAATAATACAGTATATAAAAGATATTTTATGTAAATATATAAAAACAAATATAAAGGATATTTGGGGAACGTTGAGTTTTGACTATAGACTATATAGTAATTAAAGTTACTCTATCAAAGTTGGATAGTAGAATTTTTGCAGGGAACGTCCTCATTCTCTGAAGACAAGGGCTGTGTTAGCTGTCTTTGCACCTCCCAGGGAGCAGTACAGACCCTTGGGGAGGACTGGGTTTGCACTTGAACTCCCGAGGCCTGAGGCTGCAGGCGTCACCCAACTCAAGGTCCCTTTTTGCACAGATTACAGGAGACAGCAGCTGCCAAGTCGAGCAGCCAGTTGTCTTAACTGGAAAACAGATAAGAAGCACATTTCTGGAAACAAGTGGGTGCCATCTGGCCCCGGACAGAACTGGGAAGCAGGTTGCTGAGATGAGGCTTTGATCTCCGGTGAAGGCGGCCAAGACCCTGACCAGAAAAGGAGGGAGATGCTGGCGGCCCAAAGCCCAGCGGAGGGGACAGGAAGGCAGGGCCCAGCGGTGCCAGGGCAGGTGCACAGAAAGGTGTGCATGCAGGAGGGAGGCCAGGTGGGGAGACGGGGCGGGGGCCTGGGTACGACTTCAGCTTCACTGCCGCGCTTTGGAAAACAGACAGGAAAGGTCAACACCAGATGCAGCGAGTGCCAAGGCGCTTGGGTCTAAAGTCAGGATCCCCGGTGCCTTGAGAAGCCCTGTCACTGGTGGGGGGCGGGGACACGGTGGCTCTGGCTTTGGAGAGAGCATCTGCCCCCAGATCTCAGGTCCTGGACAGGACAGAAAATTCTTGTGTGTGCCAAGGAGCAGGGTCACCTGACTCCCTGTGTAAAGTGAGGAGGAACCAGCATATGCCCACCAGATCCGTGCCATGCCCCGAGAAGGCTGCCAGGGCCCAGGCGTGGATGCTTCGGTCCCCTCTGTGTTACTATACAGTCTATACTCTGTGTCCCAGGGCTGGCTGCCGTGACAAAGGACCACGGGATGGGTAGCTTAAAGACACAGACATTTGTTTCATATTCTGGGGGCCTGACGTCTGAAATCAAGGTGTGGGTGGGGCCACGCTCCCCCTGGAGCCTGTAGGGAAGGGCCCTTCCTTACTGGTTTTGGATTCTGGTGGTGGCTGGCGGTCCGTGGCCACTGCCAATCCCTGGGTTTGTGGCTGTCACTCCAGTCTGTGCCCTACCTCTGCCTGCACACAGCATTCTTCCCTCATACCTGTGCGTCCATTCACATGGCATCCTCTCTCTGCATCTCTCTCTGTGTTTTCTTATAAGGACGCCAGTCATATTACATTGGGGTCCACCCAACCCCAGTGTGAGCTCATCTTAACTAGTTACATCTGCAATGACCCTATTTCCAAATAAGGTCACATTCTGAGGCACCTGGAGTTAGGACTTCAACATATCTTTTTGGAGACACAATTTAGTCATAACACCCTCCTATTTTATTTTACCTCCCTCTGCCTCCACTTTTTGTTTTAACTGAGAAAGTCTGTTTCAAAAACCTTTGAGTTAATGAATAAATTAATCACATGTTCCAGTTTCCTAAATAGACCAAGTTTCCAAATGGAGAAGATGGTGCCTTTGCCGCGAGAGCCAAATCCAAGGAGAAATTGCCCTGGAATGAGTCTGCTGATTCTGTTTAAAGCATAGAAATTGTCTGGTTTCCCCGTGGCCTGTGGGCTGTGCTGCCCAGCGAAGGCCCCCTGTGGCCCAGGTCCAAGCCAAGGACCCCTGCGTCTCTGAGGAGCACTGTGGGGCAATGGGACAACGGAGACCACCAAAGTCACTCAGTTATCAAGTGGATGGTGGCGTCTGAAGAGGCGGACAACCTAGGTCAAGCCAACAGCACCCAGCAGAGCTCCAGGCCCTGGCTGTGGGCTGCCTGGGTGGGTGGGTGACAGCACTGTCCCCCTGGGCTGTCACCTTTCTTCTCCACAACCATTTGTGAGTTTTCTGGAGCTGTGTCTCGCTCATGCCTCTGTCCTTCAGGGAGGCCCAGCTACTACTGGTACTCAACAGATGCACAGTGAATGATCTATGACTTCGGGGATAAACAGAGTATCTGTTATTTGCCATATCTCAAAAGTGCTTCTCAGATAAAAAGTTTCAAGGAATGTATTCAGACCAGAGTGGAAGCAGTGTCGATTCTCAAAGAACCATTTTCGTAATTATTCCAAAGGTTTATGTCTGCAAACCACTCAACAAGCGATGTTTGACATTTTCGCTGACATTTCATGGCTTCATGTGGACCCCTTGCTGGTGAGGACCCATGGTTTCTGGCATATGAGCAACTTGCAAGAAGCAACTGATGAATGAATGCATCAATCAATCAACAAACAGGGTCATTTATCACAGGCCACCCTGGAGCAGCTGCCGTCCATGGCTCTTTCCTCAGAGTGTGAGCTCCTGGAGGGCAGGAAACACTTACATTTATCTTTCAGCCCCTGGAGCTCCCAGGAGGTTGAATCCATGTTTCCTGAATGAAGGAGCCAATGAAAACACACCCATAGAAATAGGTACATTACATCCATCCTATGGATTAGACCACCAAGATCCCAAGCGACAGGTACAAGCTCCAACGATGGGGCCCACAAGGACAGTCCACTCTGGGATCCTGCTAGGAAGCCCTGCTGGGTGCTGAGTGGGTCAGTGTGTGGACCCCTGGTTCTCTGGGAGGGCACTCCCCAAGAATCTGGCCCCTCATGGTTATATGTGCGCAGTCCTGCCCTGTGCTCAGAGAGCTCAGCCCCTTGAAACACACCCCTCTGAACTACCGACAGGGCAATTTCTAAGCAAAAGAGACTTTTTGTGCCTTCAGTCTGTTGGGCTGGCGTGTAAGACTCACAGCGGAGCCCCAGGTGCGGGAAAGGATTCAGTTAAGATGGAAGCTCACCACCCTTGGCTGGGGCTTGTCCATCCTCGCAGGGGAATATGTCAGCCCCATGTTGTATCTGAGAAGGAGCACATCCATCAGTATCTTCTCGGTCACTTGCCAGGCTCTGCGTGTGCCAGCTTTAGAAAGTCTTGGTGGACACACAGAGTCACCCCAGAAGCTCGATGGGGCGCATTAGTCTGTAGTTTCTCCTTCTGCAGCTTGAGCCTCCCGAGAAAGGACTCAAGAAGACAAGTAACTAAACCATCACAATCACATCAGCAGAGCTTCCCCCACAGACTCCACTTTTGTTTTTTAACTGAGAAAGTCAGTTTCAAAAACTTTTAAATTAATGACTAATTTAATTGTATGTTCCAGCTTCCTAAAGGACCAATTTGAAATAATGCAAAATCCTCTGGATTTTAAAAAAAATGTCCTAAAGTGTCTGCATTTCACCCAAATCACCTGTGCAAACAGTGGAGGACGCCATCAGCTCCAGAGCTGGATGGACACGGGTGGGCTCGAGCCCCCACTTTTGAGACACGTCCCCTCAGGAATGGCACTGGCCTGTCTGAAGCTGGTGTCCCTTCCCTGTGAGAAGAGGAGGATTATGCTCTCGGACGCCAACAATGGGGGTCAGGAAGCCAGGAGGTGCACAGGTTCAACAGAACACCTGGTTGGACGGGGCGTGCTCCACGGAGCCTGCTCCCATGATGACAGATGTTGTCATTAAGTCAGAGGCCACAGGTCTCTCCCACATCAATCACCTGACTCCAAGAGCTGGGAAGACCTTGGGAATTGTCTGGCCTGCCTTCTCGTATGGGGAAACTGAGTCTCAGACAGGCCGAGGGGCTTCTGTGGTCAACAGAATAATGCCTCCCCCCAAATGTCCACATCCGAATCCCAGAAACCTGTGAAAATGTCACCTCACATGGAAAAGGGACTCTGCAGAGGTGATTAAGTGAGGCGTCTTGAGATGGGATAGCACCCTGCATCAACCAGGGGGCCCAACCTAATCCCACGAGACCCTAAGAGGGGCGAGGCTTTCTTGGCTGTGATCAGAAAGAGACGCAACAAAGGAAGCAGGTCAGAGAGACGCTACCGTCCTGACCCTGCACTCCTCGGACGATGGAGGGGGCCATGAGTCAAGGAATGCAGTAGCTTCCAGGAGCTGGAAAAGGCTGGGAAACAGATGGTCCTGCTGGCACCTCCGGAAGAGCCAGTCCTGCCAACACGTTGACGTCAGCCCAGCAAGACCCATGTCAGACTTCTGACCTCCAGAACAGCAAGGGCACAAGTGTGTGCTGTTTTGAGCCACACGGTGTGTGGAAACTTGTTAAGCAGCACTAGGAAACAAAGCCTGCTTCCTCAGTGACCAAGTCCACGTGCCAGGAGGGCCGAGACTCCACGCCCAGGTTCCTGACTCCCAGTCCAGTGCTCATCCTCCAGAGCACTGCATTTTTTTATCCTCCCCAAAGGTGGTCCTAGCAGCTGTCATGCCACCTCTTGTCTGTCGGAGTCCAGGGCACAAACGCTCTCATGGTTATTCCCAGCAACCGGGCTCATTCATTCATTCATTCATTGCTCAGCAAATATTTACTGAGCACTCACTTTGCACCAGGTACTGGAGACACAGCCCTGGGGGTCACACAAGACACTGCCCTGCCGCTCCCTTCACTAAAGACTCTCAGGACGAAGCAAGCCCTCAAGGCCCCCGGACGCTGCAGGCAGTCTCAGAGGATGAATGGACAAATGAAATGTGGTCTATCCATACAATGGAATATTATGCAGCAGGAAACAGGAACGAAGCCCTGATATACGCTGCAATGTAGATAAACTGAAAGCATGATGCTGAGTGAAAGAAACCAGACACAGAAGACGACATGCTGTATGGTTCAAGTTGTAGGAAATGCCCAGAATAGACAAACCCACCAAGACAGAAGATAGATCAGTGGTTGCCAGGGGCTGGACGGGGTGGGGGGTGGGGAGGGGTGAAGTGTGGAGTGACTGCTTAATAGGTTTGGGGGTCTATCAGTAAGGGTTCTCCAGAGAAACACCTGATAGGATATACAGAGACATAGAAAGGGACTCATTATGAGATTGGCTGTCATGTCCCCCACAGAGACAGTCTCCCACTCTGATGTCTGCGAGCGAGAGGCCCAGGAGAGCTGGTGGTGTAGCTCCACGGAGGAGGCCCGAGGGCTCAGAGCCCTGATGGCCGGGTCAGAGCCCAGCTCAAGCAGAAGGAGGGAACTCGCCCTATCTCTGCCATTTTCTTCTATTTAGGCAGTATAGGCTTCATAATTTATATCCAACACTGGGCAGTGTTGGGTATAAATGCCTCCAGAATTCCTACTAACCAACTTAAACATTTGTCTAGAAGAGGGACCAAAATTTTAAAATGAAGAAACAGCCTCAGTGACCAGTGTGGGTAAAAGTCTCAAACCCACGGTCTGCAGAAAACACCCTCCTGTTGGGGCTCAGGGCTCTGTCCTCACATGGCACCGTGACCCTTGCCAGCCTGGCCCGGGGCAGACTGTCCCATCGCTCAGAGGAGGGCAGGGTTGCCCAAAGGCTGTGGCCGTCCAGATCATGCACTGGACTGGGCGGTCCAGCTTATTTGTAAGAGCTGATTGCTTTAAATAAAGGCAGCCGTTTCTCTAGCTAATGTGAGGATGGTGGGATCAATTGGGTACACAGAAACAGATTACCAAGCAGGTGGCTTCGGGCTAAAGATAAATTGTGTCCTCATGTAACTTAGGAGAGTGGGATGTAGATAGTTCCTAATGTGCAAAGCAAGACTGTTCAGTTACTTATTTCTGCTGCGAAGCCCAGGCTGAGGCTGGCGGCCCTGGGAGCCCAGGAGACCCTCTTCTGGTGGACACGTTATCGCGGAAGGCACTACCCCTGTGCTCCAGCAGGGATCGGGGCCGGTTTCCGGGGCTGGTGGGACAAGTCCCTGCCTGCCCCGTCCCTCTGCCTCCACACAGCAGAGAGCAAAGCAGGCCGGGGAACATGCTCTGTGCTCAGGGCTTAGCGGTCACCCCGTTCCTGGCAGGGCAGGACCCTGGTCAGAGCCCGCCCCTTCCTCTTTACCTGAGTTAACCCCTCCCCCAGACGTCTGGCCTGGCAGAGCTGGCTGGACGGTGGAACAAATCTGCTGGCCACACATCTCTCCAACGTCTCATTTCTCTGCTATGTGTGGCCTTTGCCCATCAGGTCTGCCCTCCAGGCATCAGTCCTCCCCCTCACTTGGTCTTTTTTGGAAATAATTATAGGTTCACAGGAAGCTGCAAAACTAGTACAGAGATGTTTCCTATGCCCTTCACCCAGTTTCCCTGTTATAACATCTCATATCACTACAGTACAACAGCGAGATCGGGAACCTGGTCTGGCCATGACCCGCGGGCCTTCCTCAGATCTTACCCGGCTGTCCTAGTCAGCTCAGTGGCTGCAGTCAAACCCCACAGACCAGAGGCTTAAACAACAGACACTGATTGCTCACGGCACTGGAGGCTGGATGTCCTCGGTCAGGGTGCTGGCTGATCAGTTCCTGGTGAGGATTCTCTTCTTGGTTTGTAGATGGCTGTCTTCTTGCTGTGTCCTCACGTGGGGGAGAGAGATGATTGAAACCGAAGGTCCTTATAACTTTAATTAAATTTAGCTTTAAATCCTAGCTCTAGAAATCTCTCCCCCCGAACCCCACCATATATATAATATATCCCTCAGAGACCTAACCTTTTCCCAGATAATCGGTAACCTCTGCCGAGGCAGCCTAAGACAGTAGCCTGGACTATAATCACATGGTTGGGACTCTGGCCGGCTAAAGATAATATCTTGATCTAAGTTATGTTTCAGCTCCTGAGCCCTAAGGTGGAACGACCCCCTGGCTACTTTCCCATGAGACCAGACAGAGGGACGCCGGAGCAGACCTCAGAACAGTCCTCAAGACCTGAAGAAATGATTTATTACCTTTACCTCACTTCCGACCCCTAACCCACGGTGTCGTGTGACTTTGCCGTATAGACTCTGCACCCTACACGCCATCAGGGAGTGCGGTCTTTCCGAGCCTTAGCTTGCCCGCACTCTGGACCGGCCAGCTCTCCAGTGACCCTTCCTGCACTGCAAACTCCGTCTCGTGAGAAATGCCCGTGGGTGCGGGCAGACCGACTCAAGCCTTGGGGTCCGGTAACATTATGTCTCTGGGGCTGATTTTATAATGGACTACTCCCATCAGGAGGGCTGCACCCTCAGGACCTAATCACCCCCAAAGGCCCCACCTCCTAATAACATCACATTACGGGGGTTAGGAGTTTTAACACATAAACTTGGAGGGGGGAACACAAACAATCTATAGCACATGCGTTCCGTGTGTGTGTGTGTGTGTGTGTGTGTGTGCACGTGTATTTAGTTCTGTGCAGTGTTATCACATGGGTAGATTTGTAGAACCACCACCACCATCAAGATACAGAATTATTCCATCCCCACAAAGATCCCACTTGTTCATCTTTATTGTCACACTCACCCCTCTCCCATCTCCAAGCCCTGGCAGCCACTAATCTGTTCTCCCATGTTGTCACTTAGAGAACGCTGTATGTAACTTCAGGAGTCAGCTTTCCTCCCTGGGCACAATGCCCCTCCTTGTCGTATTCACAGCTTGTCCTTTCTTACTCCAGTTGTATGTCAGCGTCCAATGTACCACACGCTGTGTAGCCATTCGCCCACGAAAGGGCATGTGGGCCTCCAGTTTCGGCCATCGCAGAGAACGTGGCTGTGAACACCGTGCACAGGTTTGTGTGTGAACACAAGTCCTCGTTGCCCTGGGGTCATGCTCCGGAGTGCAGTTCTGGGTCCTACTGCAAGTGTACGTCCAATTTTTAAAGAAACTGCCGAACTTTTCCGGAGCGGTCATTTTACACGCCTAGCAGGAGCGTACGACACAGTTCATTTCTTTTCATCTTTGCCAGCGTTTGGTATGATCACTATATACTGTTTATTTATTTATTTATCTTGTTGTTGTTGTTTTGGTTTTTTTTTTTAGAATGCTCCTCAGTTGGGGGACACTTGATGTTTTTCTCATGATTGTCCCTATTTTTTTAATTTGAGCTGCTCTGAGAGGCATCTCATTGTGGTTTTAATCTGCATTTTTCTAGTACCTAATGACAGTGCACATTTTTTTCATGAGCCTGTTTACCATCCGGATATGCCCTTTGGTGCAATGTCTGTTCCTGATTTTTGCCCATTTTCTAATTGGATTGTTTGCTTTTATACTGTTGAGTTTTGAGAATTCTTTATATATTGTCAATACAAGTCCTAGGTCAGATATAAGTTATCCAGTCTGTAGCTTGCTTTTTCTCCCTCTGAACAGTGCAAAAGCTCTTCATTTTGATGAAGTCCAATGTGCCATTTTTCCTTGTATGGATTGTGCTTTTGGTGTCATGTCTAAGAACGCTTCACCTCGTCCTTAGATCCCAAAGATTTTCTCCTGTGTATTTTTTCTAAAAGTTTTATATTTTTACATGTTTACACTTAAGTCTTTGATCCATTTTGAGTTGGTTTTTATATAAGATGTGAGTTTAGGCTGAGGTTCATTTTTAGGCCTGGGGGGGGGCGCGTCCAATAGCTCCAGGACCCTGTGTTAAAATCTCCCCTAGTTTTAGTCATCCATGCTCCCCACTCTGGGCCCAGAGTCCCACATCCATTTTCTGGAACCTCCAGAACACTTTTGTACCTCCCTGAGGCCCCCCTGAGCCTTCTGTCTCCTGTCAAGTCGGCCCTGCCTCCTCCCACCCCAGCTGTTGTGGGGAGACAGACAGAGCCCTGCCCACCAAAGCCGCATATTTCGAGGCACAGCACAGGGTCCTCCCTTTGAGGAGAAGGTGGGCTCGGCCAAGATCAGGACATTGTTGTTGGAACAGCCTGGGCAGTGTGACCATGGACCCCTGGCTCTCCTATGTTGTGTAGCCCCCGTGCTTGGGGACCAGCTATGTGATGTATGGGGCCTTGTGCAAAATGAAATATGGGGCTCCCTGCCAGGAACTTTTAAGATGGCGACAGCACTGTGGCCCTTCTGAGAACGGGGCCCCGCTGCACTTCCACAAAGCCGGCCTAGCTTGGAAGCCCCAAATTCAGATTCGCCTTTCTGCCTAAAGAGATGGGTGCCAGCGTATAAAAATGGCTTCCCTTTGCTGTCTTGCGCAGTCACGTGTCACCCAGACATCCTTCATCTACAGCAACCTCTTTTGGCTGACATTAGATTGTGGACTGCTCAGGGCCGAGAGACCATCGAAACTCTTCTGTGGATTTCCACTTGGGGAAATGTCAACAACTCTGTGCCTCAGTTTACCCATCTGTGACGCAAGGGTACTGGACCCAGTGGGGCTGCTCTGGTCTATGTGGAACAGGCCAGGGTCCCTCAGGACGGCCTCGGCTGGGCTCTGAGGGTGGGGAGAACAGAGCCCGCCCCACTGGGCCGGAACCGCCCGACCTTGTGCTCCCATCCTTCCGGCCCTCACACCGAACTCTGTTTTACTCCCCTCGCGGGGTGTTTTTAACAAGGATCCCACAGACTTGGACCGAACCCAGCTGTTACCCTGGAGGCCACCAATAAATCTCGTAGGCAAATAAAATTGACTGAAAATTAGCATAAGAAGCCATAAATTAACAGGATGTAATTTTATGAGTATCTCACAAACTAGTCAAAGATGTGTGTCAGCCCGGGGTGAGTCAGCCCTTTCAAGTGTCTCTCCTTATACAATGCTGCTAATTTTTCTCAAATGTAAGCAATGTGTTCTCTTCCTAAACATTGTGTTCTTTGTTCTGCCATTTGGAAAAATAAATTCCCTTTAAAGCACTGCTTGACTCAACCACAAAACAAGGCAAGGAGGCAGGATCAGAGGAACCCCAGCCACCCCTCCGTCTAGGAAGCCCCCAGCTGCACGTTGGAGGAGACTCCAAGGTCAGGGTCATGACGCCTGGGAGCCTGGAGGCCTCCAAATGAAGGCTGCGAGTAAGCAGAGGTGCTGACTCTGATGGCTGGTGGGCGTTAGCTGGGAAACGCTGGCCCTCCCCCAGGCTGCATCGCTTGGAGGCTTGGCCATGGGCACAGGGCAGTGAAATTCCACATTTGCTGAGCACATGCCCCGTGCCAGAGGCTGGGGCTCACAGGCGGGTGACCCTGGCCCACCCCCTGGGTGCTCAGTGTAGCGTGACCAGGGCCACCTGGAGCACACGTGAGAGGTGCAGCCCCACCCAAGGCTGAGAAGGTGGCAGGGGGCGTAGGAGGCGGCCTTAAAGAGCGAGCCAGCACTGGCTGCAGCTGGGGAAGGCGCTGCAGAGGTGAGAGGAGGCAACGGGCTCTAGAGACTCACAGTGCAGAGCTGGGGAGACGTGATTCGGGGGGTGCAGGCCCCACTGTGAGGCCCTTCCCACAAGCTGTAGGTTCTGGAGAGATGCATGACCCAGGACACAGAGAGGACACTGGTTCGAATCTATGTGCACCCTGACCCCTCCCATGGGTCAAGAGGACAGGCACTAGCAAAGCTGGTCTGAGGCTGTCCTCGGTGCCCAGGTCACCGGGCGACGCTGCTAGGAGGAAGCTGGAAGTGCCGACTCAGGCTGGAGTGCCACGTTTGGTTAGCCGAGGAGGCAGGTGTGTGTGGAATGTGGGCAGATGGTCTGGGCGGGAGGTCCTCGGCGTTGAGATGGTGGCCAGGTCGTGGGACCAGGTGAGACCCCTAGGGGTGCAGAGGAGGACCCGGCACAGAGCCCGAGCGGGTCACCCTTCAGAGCGTGGGTGGAGGGTGCAGCCAGCAAAGGAGTGTGGCTGCCTGGCAGGAAAAGACTGAGACCCGGGCATCGTACCCAGAAGATAAGAGCAGCTGTGAGATGACAGAAAATATGTGGGTGGTCTCGGCCCCTGGTTCTCAGCACAGAACTCCTAAAACCATTGGAATTTCCTAAGTGATAAGCGCACTCGGAGTATCTGCTTTTTCTAATACTTGTCTCTGCCCCTGGTTCCTGACTCAGGGTTCCAGGAACCCTTGGAATTTCCAGGGTGATAGGAGTGTCTTTTGTACTAATGGGGTGGAGGTGACTCCAGGTGGGCTCCTGAATGGGGGCGGGTCACCCGAAAGACGAGCCATGATTAGAAGCTTGGAGTTTTCAGTGCCCTCACCCCGGCTTCTACAGAGAGGGGAGGGGCTGGAAACGGAGTTAATAGTCGAATGGCATCTACATGAGGAAGCCTCCCTAAACCCCAATAGTAGGGGGTCCAGAGAGCTTCTGAGAGGGTGAACACATCCACATACTGGGACAGTGACGTGCTCGGCTCCACGGGGACAGGATCTCCTGCACTCGGGACCTCCCCAGACCTCGCCCTGTGTCCCTTCATCTGGCTGTTCATCTGTGTCCTTTGTCACAGCCTTTAACACACTGACTGGTATATGTAAGTAAGGGTTTCAGGCTCTGTGGGCTGTTGCAGCAAATTAACTTAACCTAAGGTGGGGTCAAGGGGACCTCTGATTTGTAGCCTCTCAGGCAGACATTGTGGGTGACCTGGGGGGGAGCGGGGGAGCCCTTAACCTGTGGGATCTGGC